GTTCTGAACATACTGTCAAAAGTATTATTTCCGAGGTCGACTACCAAATGCAGACGTCTACTCAAAGAAAGCAAGTAGCAATCATATTAGTGTGGATTTCAAGCGGGAGTGGTCATGTTTCAGTCTTGCACAACTCTCGCCAGAAGTCATCTCGTTTTGGATAATCTGTTGAGATTGTGCCAGTTCGCTCCAGTAAAGGACAGTTGAACCACCAAAACCCTACCAAGTGCTAATAACCATATCAGCCTTACAAACTTTAAGTAATTGGATGAGTGTCTGAGCACAATCCAACCTTCGCGCTAATTTCCCCCTCCGCGTCTAGTGGGATCTTCAGCGTTCGTATAGGACTTGCCCCTACACTCAGCAGACTGACATTGGGTCACACAAACTCGTATCTACCTGGCCCACGTTTTCTCCTTGTTACCTACCCCGGTTGCTGCCAGCATTCAATGTTGCAGTTCCGTTTCCGGAAGTTTAACCCCAAATTTATGACATATCACATGAACTCCGCTTACGGCCTTGTCTTCCGCTGTCACCGTCACGGAAACTTGTTAAGCAGGATGCCAGCTTTTTAGCGCTGAAAGTTGTCAACTGAATCGGTAAATCAGCCGCCAAGCAAAGCGTCATGAATCTTCTTGATCGTCCTTTATCAGCCGTTAGTGCGCTCTTCCAAAGGAACAAATACAACAAGGGTAAGATTTGGTTATGTAGCCCCACCTGATGGACACAACACGGTTGGGGTTGGGGCTACTGCTAGGGTTTAGAGTTAGTGGCCCGAGTCAGAGGTTAGGGGTTAAAACAACCATTTCTTAACCGCTCAAAGTACATCCGCGCATTCCCAACAGCTTTACTTTTGCATACAACTACTTGACCTCGTTGCCTGTGCGTCCCCCGCCCCCACGTGTAAAAACTCCTATTACCACCGGTCCCGTATTACAGGTGGCTGGTGTTTGTGTACTTCAGGTGGGACTGCATAACCACATCTGATCAATACAAGTTCTCCGCCATCTACGGCTACTGTGACAACTTCGTTAGCCGCTGACTCCGTACGCGCCCATGAAGGACATGGGGACGGGAGCGACTAACGCTTCAGTATCCTCTAAGTAATATATCAGGAACAACCGAACGCATTGTCGCCGATTTTGGCGTGGGTGTCGCCCTTCGTCCAGCAGCTATCGTATGCACCAAAATCATCCAAAGTAAGGACTAACTGCATGGAGGGGAACACTCTGGTGCAATTTCCCAGATCCCCTGACACGGCTGAAATTGACGTTATACGTGCCGGACAGCACGCCAACCCAGTTCACGGACAGGCGAGTGTAAACGGGCCGTCCGAAGAGCCGACTCGTTTTTCCAATTCGCCGCCCGCATCTTGGAGGAGGAACACGAATCAGACTTCGCTGGCTGGGGAGACTGGGCCTCTGACAGCAAGTAC